TAGTTAAGGCGATTCTCTTTATCTTTTTAATTGCGTAATGCAGTTACTACAGATTACAAATAGTTTTTCAATTAGAACAGCTTTAATATACATTTAAGTATACAGATTATATCCATTATATAAGATTATATATACATATATTAAATATATAGTTTTTTCCATTTACGTAAATTGAATTTACATTTTAATAGTTAAGTTCGCTAATTGTTTTGCTGCTCTGAATGTTGATAGACAAAAAGTTGGCAAGAGCACATTCCATGTAATTTCTATTTGGCTGTTGACAAACTGTAGTTAAGCACTTAATTAGCGTTAATTACAGCTGTTTAACTTTAAGACAATTTAATACGCTTCAAAAGCCGCAGCAAAGTTCGCATCTAATTTTTGTTAATTTTGCATGTGGCTGCTGGCGGGAAAAGCCAAAAGACAACTTTTCCAACTTACACTTTCACGCCCCTACTATCTCTTATGCTCTGTCTTCCTCTCCCTCTCTCTCTCTCTCTCCCTCTTTTTCTGCTGTGCGCCTAATTGTATGCAGTAATTTATGTTGAAAGTTTTTTTTTTTCGCGCGAATTTCTCGTTTCATGCAGTGCAACACTTTCGCGTTATTAGAAAATTCCAGCAGGTGAGAGATTTATGCCACAGCCATTAGAAACGCTGCCAATGAAACGAACGCTCCTCTATTTATATAGTAGATAAAACCTCAACGGAGAGACAGACAGACAGACAAACAGAGAGGTAGACAGATAGACTGCCAGACAGTCATCATGAATTCTTTCTGTTTGCATTAGTATCGAGTAAACAGGGTATATTATTTTGGTAGTAGTGCGTGCGATAGGCAGAAATAAGTATATATGTATATATGTATAAATAAATACACATTTGATCAGAGAATAGAATTGATTTGTGGCCTTGTGCGCCACAACTTTCCACTGTCTGATAGCCTGTGTTTCATTCTATTCGTCTGTCTGTCTTTCAGGTTTCTTGAGCATCTGTCTGTCTTTAAGTTAACTTTCCAGGCATTCTTTTAGAATGTCTTTCCGGCTGTATTTTAGCCTGTCCTCCTGTCTACCTTTCAGTCTGTTTTTTCAATCTCTCTATTTAATCAAAACACTGTCTAATTGTCTAACTTTATACTTTGTTCTCTTCTTTAGTATCAAATGTCTGTAAGATTTTTTCAAATATTGAGTTTCGAAATAGCTGCCGAAGACTAGAAAAATGGTAAAGCATTTTATAAGTGGATCGCCTTACATAATTTAAAAGTCATCTAGGTAAGTATAAAATATTTCTGTTGCCATTATTTCAGTATATCTCAGCTATTTTTAGATATAAACTGCACATTTTGTTTATAAATTCTAACACACACACACAAATATTTTTAAAATATGAACTTTTAAAGAGAGAAGAGAATACATTGAAGCTATCGCTCTCAATTCCTGCTCAAAATGGATGATAAAGTTCTACCCAATAAATTTATAATCGACTGGTAAAACATTTTCTCAAAACACTTTTCAGTTAATAAACACCAAAAGTGTCCAATGATTCACAGCATCTCATAGTCATGCATACCCCACTCAGAGTACTCTGATTTGATTTGATTGTATGCTTTAATAAACTCGCTGTTGACTTACCTATGAAAAACGCCTGGCATTTGTTGTATTTCGATTTGTTTTTGTTTCGTTTTTGATTGAAGCCGGAAAAGGCAGCAATTGTTGTTATTGTTTTGTTTACTATTTTGTTGTTGTTTATAATTTGTTGTAATTGTTTTAATGGCTAATTTCGCGCATTTCAATTAAGCTCTTCGATTGCATAAACAATTTATTATGAATTTTTACAAGATTATTAAAACGGAATTCACTTCAAATAACAAAATTTCCAAATTTCAACACTCAATTTTTCATTTCTAAAATTAAAGAATTTACAATTTTTATGCTGTTATTATTTATTTAGATTGTTTTTTATGGCTCGACTTTTATTGTATTTATTTATTTTACTRCGAGTGTTTGGATTTTTATTTAAGAAACTTTTCTGTGCGTTGGCAGAGCTCTGACCCGGAAGAGTTTTTTCTTCTTATTATATCTTCGAGTGGGAGATAATGAGCACTTGAGTACAGTGATAACTAGGCTAACGAACGGCTGCTTAGCGCGCTGATTTGCGTAAAGTTGCATAAATTCAGCTCTTTCATGTTTCACTGTACTTTAATGTGGCTGACATCCGGCTTGGGACGGATGCTCCACTGCCCACAAGGCAAAACTTTATTTTCTTATATTATACATAAGTTCTATATTAAAGAAGTAAAATAAAGTAGAAGAACTTGAATTCTTGAAGCATAACTTTATAAAGAAAGTATCTGGGGTATATTTATAAGGTTAATGTCAGTTTCGTAAAGTTCAATAGGCAAAGTGCTTAAACTATTTAAGCAAGATTTAAACGGTTAAATGCTTCATGAACTTTTTAAAAAGACATAAAAGAAATTGCAAACTTTAAAGAAACCGTTTTAGTGTTCAAAAAATGTACAAAGAATTTATGAAAATGGAAAATACATTTCTTTGACAATGTATGCAAACAATTACTGAATATTAATGAAAATTATTCAAGGATAATTTTTTTTTTTTTTTTTTTTTCTTGTATAAAAATATGAATATTGTTTTCTGATTTATTTCTTCCTTAAGAACCGAAATTAAGCAATCGTTCACTTTAGCAGGCCTTCACTGTACTTAGTACTAGTACATATATTGCAACATTATTAAATTTTATTTGGGTTTTCATTTGCATGTGTTTTTTTTTTTTTTTTTTTAATATTTGTTTGTTTTAAGATTTTAAAGATTTACGAGTTTGAGTTGACGTGCTTTAGAACATCTCTTTGCTCTATGTTGATCTTAATTCCGTATGTTCTTAACCTTGTATTTATGGCCTCTTTTGCAGAGCTAACGGTTAAACAGACAACCTTCTTTTCTGATATTTTGTTTTTGTTTATGCCTTCAACAAATCGCCCACCAATGTGGATTTTGTTTGTTTATGTGTTGTGCTGTTTTATCATTTCGATGGATTTTGATATTTGCCAAAAATGATTTTGAACTTCATATTTATTTAAGTGCCGTGTTAATTTGCCAAACATTTATGCGTTCTTAATTTTTAAACACTGTCTATGCACATAAATCAAAAAATTGTTTCATAAATTTGAATACGGCAAATAAAAACCACCAACAACAGAGAATACGCTTCAAATGCAAATGACGAGCAACCGCGTTCGCCTGACGTTGTCGGACTGCATTAATTTCTAAATAATCAAACCGTTACGTGAGCGAGCACAAAACCAAAGAAAAATTGAAGAGAACGCCCAAGAGGTGGGCGAAAGAGCGAGATAGAATTGCAATGACAGATCAAACAAATTGAAAGGCACGCGCAAAGTTCATGAAACGCAAGGCGGACAGAAGGAGAGAGCAAAAGAGCGAATGAGCGGGAGTGAGTGAGCGTGCGAACGCTCGTGAACTTTGATGATCAACAGACTCTGACAGATGTGAGCGAGGAGAGCAAAGCGAGTAGAACGCACAGATAAAAAAAAACACAGGCAAACAATTAAAATCTGTAAACCAAACACAAAAATAATACATTTCTATATGTACGCATTGTGAGAGGCTACAAAAATAAACCATAAACCAATATACATGTATTGAGTATTTGCAATAAGAGCATAAGCGGCCCGCATCTATGTATATTATTAGCATATTTCAATTGTTGTCGAGTTCACGTAAATCACATGGCCAAAATGCAGCAGGAATAGTTCCTTGTTTATGACTTTTGTTTTGCATAATATTTGCGTACTTTGCGTAATTTTATAACTTCCACTGTATAATACTTTCAAAATGATTTCAGCACTCGTCTTTACACGAAATAATACAACGTCGGCACTAATTTAATTGTAGAATTGGATTTTGAAATATTATTAATATATACAATACGACGGACGCTGAATGTAAACCGAACACGTTGAAGACACAAATACAAATAAAGCATAACAAATGCGACGCCAACGTTTTTGTCTTTGCGTTTTTGCCTTTTGCTTTTGCACACGCCGGAACAGCTGTTGATCGAAACTGGGGTAGCCACCAGTGTTGCCACACTAAAATGCGAGCACTAAATATATACGTTGCGTTTTGAATTGCGCTCAACTTTTAACAATTGTCATGCAAGCGGTTAAGTGTTGATAATTTACCTAGCGTACGCCTCTTGCTGACCTTCGCACAATTCTCTGTGCACCTTTAATTTCCTTATTATGCTTCTTTTTTAAGCACGCACACGCCGTGATTTACAATTTTTTGTTTAAAGTAGAACAGGAGCAGCCGAGTTGAATGAACAGCAACGACTGAGAAACACGTTTTCACTTGGTCACAGTCCGAACGCGACTGAGACTGAATTCGGAAATGCTGTCTTTTTATATACGCGCCACATGGGCGTCGTTTCCTGAAGGGGTTGAGCAAAAGGATTCACTGCGCAGGCGCAAAGCGAAATTCGTGTCAGCTGAATGATTTTTTTTTTCGCTTTGTAGCTGCAGAATGAGAGTCATGCAACAGCTTTTGCTTTCGCTTTCGTTTTTGCAACTTCAGGCTAAACTTCGCGAATGAGCACCCCTCTTACCTCGTCAACCAACCCCCCTTACCATGGCCCATAAGACATGTAGGTGCCAAGAGGTCAACCGCGTGCCACATTTTGTGGCACGGCATGGGGGTGCGTGGGTGGGAGGCTGGGCTTGAACTGGTTGACTGCCCTGACCTAGCCAAACGCCGAAAATGTTGCGCCGAAAGTCGAAACACGTCTATGTACAGTGAATACCCGTGTATCTAAAACGGCATCATACAGTGAAGGCTCCATAGAAGAAATATTGTTTAATTTACATTTTAATATTCTTTCAAACAACTATTCGTATTAAAATAGAGCTCCACTCAAGTCAGTTTGCACAGTATAACTAGCTGTACTCTTTAGCTAGTTTGTACAACTACAATTAGCTTAAGTTTGATAATACTCTTCAAGCTCTTCTCACGGTGACGTACGTTGCTTGGCCCTTTTAGTCAGCTGCTACTGTACTATTTGACCTCAACTACAATCACATTTCAGTGCATCTCAAATGTTAGTTTAGTCTCCCCCATTAAAAGCAAAAGTCAACTCAATTCCTGCCGCAATCGACGCTCCCGCCTCCAGTCGCGCAGCTTCTCCCGCTTCATCTCGTTGCGTGTGCGTCTCTCTTTGTGCTGTGCTGCGGGATTCCCATGGCGTCGCTTGGTCGCATTTGTGTCAAAAGCCTCGAAATGTGTGACACGTGCCGGTGGCTGTTGAATTCCCAAGCCTGTGCGCTGTTTGCGCAGCACAGTCTTCACTGGGTATAGGCGACCATTCTGCTGGGGTCCCAATCCATGCTCACGATCCCACCCCATCCCAACCATCAATTGTAGACCGCGATTCTTAACGGAGATGTTGAATTTGTGCAGACGATGCGGAGGCAGGGATTTCATGTTGAATCTGTGCACCGTGGAGGTTTGATGGTCGCGCCAAGTGGATTCAGTGTATTCCCTTTGGCACAACTCACAGTAGAAGGGTGATAAAGCTGCCTCTGTTGACTCCATTTCATGCGGAGCTTGCACTTCCGATTTGTCCAAGTTTTCCAGCAATTCCACAATATTCCGATTACCCTTCTTTCTGGCCAGCTCCAGAGCCGTCTGTCCACTCTTATCTCTCACGTCTACAGCTGCGCCTTGCTCCAGCAGCCATACAACTGCCTCCTCCGCCCCTTCACACGCAGCCATCATCAAAGCTGTCCAGCCAAAGGCATCGCACGCATTCAGTTCTCGCTCCTCGCTAATGCTCATTAGCGATAGCTGCTCCACATCGTTGGCCATTGCCAATCGAAAGAAGCGATTTCTATCATAAGGATGTCTGGCCGGTTTCTTAGGTAACGTAGCATTGCATTTAGATGTCTTGATAACTTCTATTTTGGCTGTTGCGGGAGTCTCTAAAATTTCCTTGTAGAACTGCTGCACTTCAGCTCCAGTCACGCCATCGATTCTGTGCCTCTCCGCCTTCCCTTTCGCCTGCTCCACAGCTCCAGCGTGCACAAAGCGCTTCAATGGCACATTTAGGGTGCTCAAAGCAACCCAGTTGGGATGCAAATCCTGCCCAGAAGAATTCATTTAACAAAAAATGTAAACAATATACATAACAGTGTTGCCAAGTGCTATATAACGAAATAAACTAATTTTTGCTAAAGAAGTGTGTAAGCACTTTACTTGAAATTCAAATATAATTGAATAAATATTGACAAAAAACAAATAGCAATAATTTGGCTTATCATTTGGAAAAACAATTTTTTTCTAAATACAACAGAAAATATTAATATATATTTATAACAAGAAAAACTGTTTATATTTGTCGATATACAGTAATCGACCACCACTATTTATCGCATCGCCTATCGCTATTTCTTAGCTAAACGCCTGGCCAAGCGCGGAGATGTGAATTTCACAAACTCATTTAAATAGCCAACAAATAAAACGGCCTACATATAGCCATTAGAAGATATTCGTAATTAATAAGTTAAATCTAAGAAATGGCAATTGATTAAAGTTTGTTAAAGAAAGAGCTAACGAAGAACGAGCATTCCAAAAGTGCGCAGTAAAAATCAATAACTGTTTGTGGCACACACACATACACGCACACCCACATGTAAAACGCTTAGCCTGCGAGCAACAAGCACCCACACACAAAGAGACATACAAAATGTCCGACGAAGAAGAAGAGTCCTTGTCGGAGGGCTTTTCAGCGAGCGAAGAGGATGAGTGGAAACCGAGCAAAGATGCGCGCGGCGGCGAATCCTCCGATGACGATGACAGCGAATTTGAGGAGTCGCCCGGTGGAGCAGCAGCAGCGGGCGCTGCGGCCAGCGCCAGCGGACGCTCCTCATCGTGTGCCAATAAGAAGAGGCAAGTCAACCAATCAATCAATCAAACACCAAGTTGAAAATATTAATTCATCATTTTATATTCCTTTCACAGAGAGCAGAAGCCGCCTAGTGGCATCAAAGGCGCCTCGGTGAAGAAGCGAAAGTCAAGCGGCCAATCGTTGCGCTCGAAGCTCTATAAACAATATCGTCCGCTTCCGAAAACCTTTCCCACTTCCCCCACACAGCAGAATTCGCCAACAGCTTCGGCTTCAGGTTCTGCCAGCCGTTTGACGGCCTCAAAAAACGCCAAAACGCCCAATGAAAGCAACAACACAATAGACTCCAGCAGCGAATCGAGCGTGGATGATTACCTAGTCAATCCAGCTGACCTCGATTTAGGTTCCAGTTTCTTCATGGCCAACCGAGAGAAATCCCCCTCAGTCCCGCCTCCGCAATTCGATTGCAACGCGGGCATAGCGCAACTCTCTGACTCCGGCTCGGGATCAGAGGATAACAACGATAGCAGTTTGGAGGATAAGGCTTTTGATTTTCGTGATCTACTCGAGAATGCGAACAGCTTGGAGCGCACACGCGAAGCGCTCCTCAGTAAACGGAATGCCACAGCCACACCGCCGGCTACCAAATCGGCTGCAATGGATGTCAATGCTTTGCTTGCATTGGGCGAGAACCAAAACTACGCCAAACAGACGGATAATAACCAACCAGCGGAGATGCACGAATCGAGGCGTCGTTCGCTAGGAGCAGGAATAGGAAGAGCTGCAGCAACTGGAGCAGGAGCAGAGGCAACTGGAGCTGCCACGCAGCCACCGCCCCTGGATGCACCATCGCGTCTCAGCAAAACCAAATCAACACGCATCAAGAGGCATACCAAGACCAGGCCAGCTTCCACAGTTCTAGCCGCCGGCGACACCGATGACTCCGACTTCGAGGAAGTTGCAGGTAGGAAACGAAAGTAGACGAAACAGTTGAAACACAAATCCAGGTGTATGTAGTTGAAGCAGGTGATCAAGTTGGTTGTGCTGTCGCATCTTTGTTGTTTGTTGATTCTGATAGTTAGGCAAAAATTCTAGAAATTCTCCAAAGACAAAGAACATAAACACGATATATATAATAATAAGCTTCCAAAAATTGCTACGTTTGAGACTGCGTAGGTTTTGTGTTTTAAAACGAAGATACAGATGACATTATACGAGCAAATGAAAGTCTATAAATCTATATATATATGGATATATATCTGCTATACAAAATTAACTACTCTATATACATAAATATATATACATATATAACTGTTAAACCAGGCTCAGGCAGTTTGCATTAGCTTAATTTTTTCTAGAGTTTTGGACTGTATAAAAAAGTTTTCACATAATTCTAGAAGTATAAAAAAAAAAGTTTAAATTGAAAACAACTTTGAAATGCCTGAACAAGTTTTTAAATAGTGAAATAAATTACGTAATTTAAAGGTTTTGCAAGTAAAGATTAAAAACATGCAAAAACAAAAGTCCTAATTTACAAAAACGAAAATAATCTGACCTCAAGAATTTTTCTATTAAAATAAAAATAGTATTTAAAAAGTTTCTTAACAATTTATCTAAAAAATAGTAGTATCTTATATATAAAATTCGAATTTCAAATTTGACTTTCAACTAGAATTTATTAAACAAATTTCATATATATTTATTAATTCATTTACTGTTTTTTTTTAGAAATTCTAATTTAAATAAAAATAAAAGTAAATATTTTTACTTAAATTAATTTTTAAATTATTCCACTTAAATGGAAAGTAAATTTAAAAGACTTTTCTCATCATTGCGATTTTAAATAATTTCCAAAATGTTTTCGATTTAGAACCACTAAAACATTTATTATTTTTTATAGATCAAACTTAATTTGAAAACTTTTCTAAATAGAGAAACTTTAAAGCTATGCTAACTGTTTGGGTCCTATATCTTTATAGTCTCTTAGACTGAATATGGCATAACAATGGCACTTTAGAGCGCTTTAGTTAACACACGCTTTATGCAATACTTACAACACTAACTCCACACAATACTACAAGCCTATTAACCAACACTGAACTAACAAAGTCTCTCTTAACATAAAACATAAAACACAAAAAACAAAACATACGCGCAACAAATTCTGAATGTCGTTTATGAAGCACAAAATAATTCACAAAGTAAACAAATCATAAATTATGAATGTTTCAGTGTTGTGAAATGTTAAAAAGAATACAAAATTTTTAAACAATTCTGCGTGTTTGCACATTTTTAAATAAAAACATAAAATATAGAATTCGAATCAAAATAGTTTTTAGTATAATGTAAATTTAAATAATTTTTTAAAGTACAGTAGAAACTGCCTCAGACGAAAGGAGAGTATTAAATTAAACAAGACAACTAAATTAAATTTCTTAATTTTTTTCTTTTTCTATTCTATTACTTTTTACTATAGGCAGGCTCTACTACAAATGCATTTATTTCGTTGTGTCTTTTGAATATTTTTTTGATATATTTTTATTTGCGTAAAGCCGAAAAGAACAAGACTTAAGATTAACGATAAATACACTTACTTTATGGCAGCAATTCCAAAGTGTTTCATCAAGAAAAAAAAAAAAAAAAAAAAAAAATACAAAGATTTAAAGAAAAAAAGAAACAAAAAAAAATTAGAACTGATGTTAAAACGAATTTACTTTAGAAAAATTGTATTCATTTCACAAAATAGAAAATAAAAAATAAAAAAAATGTAAAAAAAATATGAGCATAATTTTAGCGCAATTTTAGTGAATGTTAAAGAAAAATGTATTAAAAAAATTTAAAATGCACTTCAAATGAAATAAATATATAAATGCAAAAGTGAAATAAACTCTAGATGAAAAAAAAACATGAAACTCTCAACTGCTTTCATTGATCTGCCTGTACATAAACTTTAGACACAGACTGTAAACGAAAAACCGACTTTTTCCAGATGCTCAACTGAGCAGCGATGAGGATCCGGATGCCACGCCCAATATTTCAGGAGACCTGGAGATTGTTGTGGGCGCCCAACCCACGCGGCTGACCAGAGAGCAGAAGACACAGCATGAATTGGAGCTGGCACTGAAGCGTCGCATGAACCGCGACATCAAGGATCGCCAGCTGCTGATGCACAAAGTGAGTTTACTGTGCCTGCTGGCGCGCAGCATCAAGTACAATCGCCTGCTGGCAGACACGACGTTGATGCAGGCGGCGCTCAAGCTGCTGCCCAGCCGCAATGCGTATCCCACCGAAAAGGGCGTGGAGCTGAAGTATTTGCAGTCGTTTGTCACCTGGTTCAAGACCTCGATTAAGCTGCTCAGCCAGGACTTGTATCCGACGCACGAAAAGGCTGGCTCGAAGCGTGCCATAATCGAGCAGCTGCTGGCGCAGATAAAGCGCAAGGAAGCCCGCTGCAAACAGGATATGATCTTCATATTCATTGTACTTGCACGCGGCATGGGCATGAACTGTCGCCTGATTGTCAATCTGCAGCCGATGGCGTTGCGACCGCAGGCCAGCGACTTGATACCCATCAAATTGAAGCAGGAGGAGAAGAACAAGAGTCAGACGGTTAAAGCTGAGGAGGAGGAGGAGGAGGAGGAGGAAGATGAGGATTTGGAGGAACAAAAGCCAAGCGCGTCCAAGCCTCGCACAGCTGTTAAGCGATCGGCCAGCAAGAGCAGTCCGAAAGCTGAGACAAAAACCAGCTCCAGCTCGAATATACCAGCCAAAGCTGCCAAGAATCAGACTGAAGAGCTAAAGAGCAGCAGCAGCAGTAGCTCCAAGAAAGCCAACGAACAGCCCAAGGGCAGCTCAACCAGGTCAAACAACCAGAAATCCAAAGGCAAACTCTCCGACAATAACTCGGAAGCTGAGGCCAAAGCCAGCAGCTCCAACGCACAAAAACCAAAAGCTAGCAGCTCACGCTCTGCCACAACTGCTGCAGTCAAGACAGAAGCCGCAGGTGAAGCCGGAGCAGCACTCAAATCCAGCCGCTCAGTCGCAAAGCCAATCGAAGGAGCCCGAGAAGTGAAGCCGCAGCTCTCGCGCCTGAAACGCGCACCCAAGCTGCCCGAGACGGGCGCAGTGAAGCGTGTCAAGGAGGCGCAGCTGCAAGTCGAACCCTCGCCAGTGGCGAGACGCACACGCAAAGCATCCGCCGACAAGGAGCGAGTCGCAGAAGTTTCCTATCCAGCAGCTAAAGTGGGTTCCCCTGTGATACCCAAAGTAGTGCTGGCCAATGGCAAGGCAAAGAAGGCCAAGCCCAATGATGCAGAGAATGCCAAGCCGGGCGAGAATCAGCTAGTGGAGTCTGAGACGCGCTCGCGCAGCAAATCGCCCAAGGCATACATCTCCACACAGTTCCTAAAGGGCCATGATGCAGCTGCTCCCTCAGCTGCAGTCAAGGCAGCCAGGACCAAGTCAACCAAAGAAATGGAGCCCAAGCGGGAGCTGCGCACGCGTCAGCAAAAGACCAAAGCGCTGGCCATACCCCAACTAGATGGCGGCGACGATAGCGTCCCACTGCCTAAGAAGCGTATAAAGCTGGAGAAGCTGCAGAAATCGCATAGCCAAGGCAGTGATTCAACCTCTGGAGGCTCAACGCCCAGTCCGGCCATAAAGAAGGCGCCGGTGCTACCCAAGGCAGTGCAGCATCTACGCAAGGATCGTCGCGTGCTCTCCACAGACGATGAGAGCGTCAAGGAGAAGAAGAAAACGACGGCATCCGATATGTGGGTGGAGGTGTGGTCCGATGTGGAGGAACAATGGATATGCATAGATCTGTTCAAGTGCAAGCTGCACTGCGTGGATACCATAAGGGTGAGTTGGAGTAGATATGCAAATGGATTCCAATTGCTAACCCATCAACCTTCACCTTGCAGCGAAATGCTTCCTCTAGCCTGGCCTACGTCTTCGCCTTCCAGGACGATATGAGTGTAAAGGATGTCACAGCACGCTACTGCCCCAACTGGATGACCACAGTGCGCAAGTCCCGTGTGGAGAAAGCCTGGCTGGACGAAACACTGGCTCCTTACTTGGGCAGGCGCACCAAGCGTGACATACGCGAGGATGAGGAACTGCGTCGCATCCACTCGGACAAGCCACTGCCCAAGTCCATATCCGATTTCAAGGATCACCCCTTGTACGCACTCGAGCGTCATCTACTAAAATTCCAGGGCATCTATCCGCCAGATGCGCCCACTCTGGGCTTTATACGTGGCGAGCCGGTTTACTCCCGCGACTGTGTTCATCTGCTGCACTCGCGCGACATTTGGCTGAAGAGTGCGCGAGTCGTCAAGCTGGGCGAACAGCCCTACAAAATTGTGAAGGCGCGACCCAAGTGGGATAAGGTGAGCCAAGAAATTAGCTCTGCCTGTCTGTGTATAACTGTTAACTCCATATATCGATTCCTCCTGCAGCTCACACGCAGCGTCATCAAGGATCAACCGCTGGAAATCTTTGGCTATTGGCAAACGCAAGAGTATGAACCGCCCACGGCCGAGAATGGAATAGTGCCACGGAATGCCTACGGCAATGTGGAGCTCTTCAAGGCGTGCATGTTGCCCAAGAAGACAGTGCATCTCAGATGTGAGTGACACCTAATATGAATAACTAATCTTCAGCTTGAACTAATTTGATGCCCTTCACAGTGCCCGGTTTGATGCGTGTCTGCAAGAAGTTGAACGTAGACTGCGCGAATGCGGTTATTGGCTTCGATTTCCATCAGGGCGCCTGTCATCCCATGTACGATGGCTTTGTGGTTTGCGAGGAGTTTGCTGAGGTGGTCATCGCCGCCTGGGAGGAGGACCAGCAGGAGCAGGCGCGCAAGGAGCAAGAGAAATACGAGACGCGCGTCTACGGCAATTGGAAGAAACTCATCAAGGGCCTCTTAATACGCGAGCGCCTCAAAGCGAAATATAATTTTTAAATTCCCTTCTTTTTTTTTGTCTCTCTGTTTAATGCTGCAAGTGAATTGCGTATTATTTTATAAATATTTTTGTATTTTGATATTTGCTAAATTGCAAGAAGATACTGATGTCTTTGTAAAGAAATAAATTAAATTAAATATTTGTATTGAGCCTTGAAAGAATTTGTTAATAAATCATACGATATATATGTACTTAAGCTGCATTAAGAAAGAAAGAACTGAGCCTATATTCATTTCTAATACTTCTGTCAGTTATTAAGCTGATTGTAGTTCACGCAAACAGTCGATTAAAAATCTTGAGTCCTAGCTCATAAATCGTTTACAGATATGCTCACCTCATATCTAGGGCATTGTAATTTTGTCAAGCAATATATAGTCTATGCTCAGAGCATATAAGAAGTATGAGGAATCTAATCTTCAGTTCCATATCTATCTAAAATGAATATATCATGCATATATCATGTATATCTACCTATAATTCCAACCTCAACCTTTTTAAAATTAAACTGATTTTTATGAATCGCCCATTTTGTTAAGAATTTCTCATGCTACACTCGAAATATATATTGTAGTTAAAAATAAATAATTAGTAATTAAAAATTAATTGAAAAAAAATCGTTTTATATTCAATTTTTTTAATAATGACTCGAAATTTCATTTCAATCTAATTTTGGTTTAACAAATTAGTATCAAAAGTAACAAAAAAGTTTTCAAAAACATAAAAACAAAACAAAAATTCATGACATGTAAAGCTCTCTAGCTAAAAAATTGACAATGACTTCTTGTCGTATTTCAAAATATTTCAGCACTTAAATTATATAAAAATGTTTGGTTTTCATTTTTAATTTAATTAATATTTTAAAAATTTCACCAGAAATAAAATTTGGTTTTGATTCACATATTTTTCTTGTTTTGGAATGCTTTTATTTAGCAATTGTTAAAAATTTTGTTACGCAATAAATTTTACACAAAAAACATTTGGAACACAAACAAAAATATTAAACGAAATTCATTATTTATACACAAAAATTTGGTTTTCGCTTGGAATAATTTAAGTGAGAGAATTATAAGAGTTAAGTTTTTAATTTTCTTAAGTAATTTTTTTTTTTTAGTTAAAGGTATTAAGTACGTAGTTTGAGATTAAAAATTGTAAGCGTAAATCGTTTAAAGTTTTGTGTGGAATGCGAAATGGAAAAACTAATTCATTTTTGGCCTGTTCGATTTGGCAGTCAATAAATTAAATAAATAATTAACTAAAGTTGATAATCAAAAGTGGAAATAAATAATAAGAAAACTTTGGTTTCTTTTTATCAAATCAGACTGGAGCGATTGTTGAGCTAATCAGCAGCTGCTGAATTTGGATCGTAGCTGTAACTTTAACAGTTATTAGACAATATATATATATATATTTGAGGGACAAGTCTTTGGATTTGTCCTTTGTGATCCTTTGGATATATCTATAAAGAGTGTCATGCAAACTCTCCATCTCCATCACTCTTTTATGATCCGTTAGACTATATATTTTTTGTGAGATCGCAATTTCTAGCGAGTTCATATACTTTCTTTTAAATAAACAACAGCTCAGTCAAACATTGGCTTTAAGATCTTATCAATTTTAGAGAAGTCTTCCTCTATGATTCTTAACTTTTAACTTGACTAGCCAACATCATCGACAAGTCTGTACGGTTGTTATATCTTTGCTTTGTAATCCTTAGCCTATATCTTCCAAACAATTCTTCTCCGTTGATCTCTAAGCTATATATATATATACGTCATACAAATCTTCTTCTTTGATCTCTAAGCTATATATATACACATATATAGAGAGAGAAGCTCAGCCAACTACGGTTAAGCTTTGCCCTGATCCACTCGCAATCTCCATACTAGCTTTGGCTATATATTTGTGGCATCTGTTGTGCTACCTGCTCCCACTGCCGGTCCACCTCCAGCTCCAGCTCCAGTCCCTGTTCCAGCTCTCTCTCCCGCTCCTGCTGCCGCTCTCTCTCCCGCTCCCGCTGTTCCTGCTGTCGACTTTTTTCGCTGCGCCTGCAAGTACTCAAAGTACATGCGCCTCGCCTGATTCAAGACTCGCGTCACATCGTGCTTCCGCACCATCTTATCAAAGTGCATCGCTATCTCGTTGTAGTCCATGCCCGACTTAATAATGGTGTTGCGATGCTGCAGCAGCAGTGTTAGGCAGAGGAACATGAGGAACGCATTGCCGCCCCCGAATTCGCCTGGTGGGGGCAGAGCAGCCGCTGTGCTATTCAGCCCATTCAGCGGACTGCGCTGGGGTGAGCGTGTGTAGGCGCTCTCGTCATCCGCATTTGTTGCTATTTCCACCAGTGTCGGCGCCTCGACACGGTTCGGCTCCGTTGAGATGGGCATGATCACCTCGGGCAGACTATTGCTATTGCGCATGCCGCCCTCCATCAGCTGGCTCTCGTCTATGAAGGGATTCAGCGTATCGGTCTGAGCGGGCTGCACACTGTTGCTCTTGGCGGCGGCGAGCCGCTGACGTCTTCTCATATGCAGCTCACTGACATCGGGGCACGTGATGATCTCGTTCTCCTTGAGATCATCCACCATGTCCAGCGTGTCCTTGTCCAACTTCTCATATTCTATATCATCGGCCAGGGCTGTATTTACTTGCTTTTCCGTGAAGGGCAAGCCAAACACCTGACGATCCAGATTCTCCGCCTCCAAACGCAGTTCGCGCGTTATGGCATTCGTCATGGGATAATACTCCTGATCGCCATCCTGATCGGGCGTGCTCTCTTCTAAGGGCTGCTGCTGCTGCAGCGATTGCTGCTGTTGCTCCTGCTTAACCGGCGACACAGCATTCAAATCCAATTGCAAACTATAACTGCTCAGCTCCTGCGCCTGCTGTATGGCCGTGGCCGCTGTCGAGGCACTCCAGCTGGTCTCTGGTATGGAGGAGGAGTCCGATTCATCCAAAGAGCTGCCCAGTGCACCGCCTTTGGTGAGCTGCACCACTGGCTTGCCCAGCTCCTTTTCCTTCTGTGGCTTCTCGCTGATCTGCAGCTGATTGGCCAAGCGATCCGAAATGCGATTTTTGTTGATCGCGGCAAAATTGAGGAATTCATTAAAATTCTTGACCAGCTTTGGCGGTGCATCGTCGTTGTCGAACGAGATGCCCATGCGGCTGCTGGCCGCGATTTTCTCCTTGAGATCCTTGAAATGTCCGCCGCTGGTGCTGCTGACGCGTTTGACGCTCTCGCTCACCGTGCTGGCATTCGTGGCCAATTGCTTGGCTATCATATTGCTTACGTTCATAATATTCTTCTGCTGCAGCTTGGCCAGGCCCTGGACCGATGCCTGCTGCTGCTGCTGCGACTGCTGCTGCTGCTGTGGCGCCTTCTCCTCGCCGAAATTGGAAGATGATGTTGATGAGAGGAAAACCCTAGCGGGCGGTGAAGCTATATTATTGTTGTTATTCAAATTATTATTTGGCTGCTGTGCATCGTCCTTGAACGGATTCGTCTCATGGAATTGTGGCGGCGAGCCCACCAGCTGCTCCTTGCGGTCGAAGACATCGTCATCGGTGTCCTCGCTGGCGCTCAGCTCCTGCACTGACCTGGCATTCTGCTCGGCCACGCCGCCCTCTATCAGCGCCAACATCTTCGACTCATCCAGACTCTGATGCGCCTTTGCCGAAATCCTGCGCTGCCTACGCGCTGCATGCCTCGACATATTGTCGTCCAGACTCTGATTCAAACGCTTCGAATTGTCCAAGGCATTGTTGCTAGCAGCTCCCAGCGAGGAGCTCAACGAACTGAGCGACGCCGATGAGCTCTGTCTGCGCAATGCACAAACTTTCGTATAGGGATTCTCTCTGGGCTTCGTTAGCAGATACGATGGGCTTGTGGGCGTGGCGCTGTATGATGTGGAAAATGTGCTGGCACTATTGGGCGCAGAGGTTTCCGTTATGGGCACAAATTCCTGGTGTTATAGAAGTATTATAGTATTAGATTTATTGAAGTAGGATTGGAACTACTTAAAAGTTGACGAGAATCGGATATGAATAAGCTATATAGAGAGATTACATTAGCATTGCAGATGTAAAATGAACTGATGAGAATGCACTTACTATATACAGTTGTTTCTGATCTGAACACTTAATAGGAATGGGTCTACTCTAGTCTTTTCATATATTACTAAGACCTAAATCCTATTATATCATATCTTCTTATATATACACTAAACATTTTAGGGTTGCCATGACATAACACTCACACACAAAATTTATTTAAATTTTATAAATCTAGTCAAGAAATTAGTTATTTCGAAGGTTTCCCACAGTGCGTTAATTACTTTCAGCCCAACATTCCTCGAGAGGATGCAAATCGAAACTTTTAGCCAGGTATGAGACAATATGTATGAATACATTATATATATCTTATGATTCATGTACATATAATTTGCAAATGCTATACTGTAACTAACTTATCGTGAGTCTACCTTTTTATTCCTAATTGACTATAAATAACTAGCAGACTTTAACAGGCACTTTTCATTATAAGTATTTTTAAAGCCTTGGAACTTCATTCTTAGTCATTGTAGAGCTTGGCAAATTCGTTTGTAGTTGTTAAGATAGGAAACATAGGTATATTTTATAGAGATCTCTGCTAATCCCTAGAGGGAATTCATAAATTTATATATTTACATATCTCTGACTTTTCAATATAGAAATTTGGATATTGCAATTGTATACAGTAATTATTTACACTTCTGTTCCACAAATCAATATTAATATCACAACGAAGCTAATTTTAAATATCGTGTATACGGTTACAACTTGAGGCTCGGATTTATGAGCAAGTGTAAGCAGTTCTCATAATTTACATTTGGCTCTAACTAGAAGCAGACCTTGAAAAGATCTGTTCTGAAAAACAAACAGCTATAGTATGTACATATATAGTTCTCTTTTAACGACAAATTATTTTGGAACTATAGAATCAAATCTAATCAATTGCAAAGGCTTGGTTAAAAATAGCTTATCTTAAGTGTATTGGACAATTTGGGCCTATCATCCTGTCTCCTCTTCACAGTTATATCTCAATCCTATCTAATCTCCGACAAGGCATTATATTTTGTCTTATCTCAATAAACTGATCTCGTATGATTCCCGAACGCACCTTTTCGTATAGAGATAGCTCCTTGGGGCTATTATTGTCATAGCAGAGCGAGCTCCACTGTACCTCCAGCATGCGCAGAGCATCCTCGAATGGGAACTCACGCTTCAGCTCGAGCAGCAGCCAGCGATAGCAGAAGAGCAGATCATCGGCTTGCTGTGATTTCAGATACTCCCAGAATTCCGGATCATAGAAGCTCAGCGCCTCCGTCAGGTGGGCAAACTTCTGAGTCATGGCAATGCCATCGAGCATAAAGTTGCCGCGCACTCGCTCCATTATCGCACAGAAGCAGATGTAGGCCTGCGCCTCGTCGTTCATGGTGACCAGCAGGGGCGAGGCAATGTCGGACATGCCCTGGCAATAGCTGACGACTGGATGATTCAGCGCGTACGTGGTCAATATGTTGAACAATGAGGCAATATTCTGATTGTCGTCGCTGCCCGCATAGAACGGATGCAGTCGATCCGTGCGCAGCACATCTTTCTTCACCATGCTCGTCACATAGGCCAGTTCGCCCGCCACAGATCCGCGCTGCACGGCCGCCTTCCAATTGTCGCGCAATCTGTAGTATTGCTCCGACTTGCGCCGCATAAACTCCATGCGCTGATGCCCATCCAGTGGCAATCCGTGCATGCCGCTCGGATAGACATTCAGCAAATGCTTCCAGACCACGCGACGTAAACTCGGCTCAATGCCACCCAGGAAAATCACTTTTCTCAGTTCGTCGCGGCGCTGAATCTGCCCGAGTGCATCCAAAAACAAACGGAATTCGCTATCACACATAGGCGGACGCGGGGGCAAGTTCGCCATATGCTCATCCGATAGGTTAAAGGCCTTCTGCACTATAGAGAATGTCTTCTCCATTTGATTCATGATCAGTCCTGGCAATTTCGTTTGCATATGCTGCACATATTTCTGCGATACACCCAGCGATTGGAGCGGCGACACGCTGGCCGAGAAGCTAGCGGTGCCACTGACTCGGCTGCTGCTGCTCGTGTTTGTTGCCGTTGTTGTAGTTATTGTTGTTGTTTCCGTTTCACACTCTCGCACAACGGTAAATGGCTTAACGTCAATCTGCAGCATGAGACAAGGCTCCGACGACGTCTGTATGGATATATTGTGTATGCGTAGGAAGGCAGCGTCCAGATCCCAGTCGGAGAGTACGGCCAAATAGATTTCATTGCCAGCTGGATCGAAGGCCTTGTATTTGATGGAAAAGTCCGATTTGATATCGAAGGCCTTGGCTAGGAGTGAGTAGAGCACCTCCAATGTTGTTATTTGTGGATCCACCGAAAATTTGCGCCATTCTGGCGGACGCGTTGCCTCGCACTTCTACGCGTGGGTGTGAGCGAGAGGGGGGCGACAGAGTGGGAGAGAGTGTGCGAGAATGGGTGAAAATTGTTGTCTTTGTTTTCTGTCTGCCACAGCAGGAGAAAAAAAATAGCATACCTTGACTTTGACGCGCACCGCCTCTCTGGTGTAGATGCCAGCCATGTTTTATTGTGTCTGCAGTTCTTGTAATTAGCTTAATTCCATTATTTTGTTATAATATTTCTATATTATTATTGTGATTATAGATGATTAGCATTTGAGCAAGCGAATAAATGCTCTTTGTTGTTACGCCATCTATTGGCAGCAGTGCTGCTAAGCAATTGAACGGTGCTCACTTAGCAACACTGACGGCGCTGCCATTCGACAATGCGACAGTGTGTACACATAATATATATTTTATAATGGTGGCAACGCTGATAAAAAAAAATAAAATAAAAAAAAAAAACAAGAAAACATTCAGCGCATACAAATATGAGAACATTAGTGCAAAATTTGTTGTTGTTATAGTTTATAATACAATTTAGTAGTATTTTTTGTTTTTGTTTTCCATGCAAATGCATTGTATGCACAATTTGAGCGCGACGTGTTGTAACGCTACATGGTAAAAGCCCTGGCCAAGGCGCGCGTCGAACGTTGAGCAGCGTAATCTCCACCAACAAACGTCGTCTAGAATTTTGGGTGTGTATGCGTGCGTATAAGTGTGTGTACGGGCGTGTATGTGACGTGACACACGCTGAATGTTACTTGGTTGCCAAGGATCAGCAGGAGCAGGAAAGGCATGCAGCTCCGCCAGGCCGGCTATGACAGCTGCTTCAGCACGGAGAGAGTTCCGAGCTCATTTCAATTGAGGGCTCCCATTGAGTTAATATTTGTTTAATTTATGATCGCTCTGTATGCGTGTGTGCCCAATTGTACTTGAGTTGTGTGCCACTGCTGTATGCGTTCGTGTGTGTGCGTCTAGTGTTTGCCTGTGTGTGTGCGTGTGTGTGGCAGCGATAAATTCTCTCTGAATTTAAACGTTGTAAGTTGAATTATTATGCAAAATAATGCTCTTAACTTCCGTTGACGCATTATGCTAAAAGCGTAAGTGTGTGACTGTGTGTACATATACATGCATATATATATAAAAATATATGTAGCGTGTACATGTGTGTGTGTGGCGGCATGCTTATATCACATACAATAATAAAATTGATAGCAGTTATATTACAATGAAATTTATCATGACATTTTTTCGCTGGCAACTTTTGTATAGCTCTCTGACCGCTTGACCCGAGTTGCAATATATCTCTCTGTCCATATGTGCATATAGTAATCTGATTTGTCTTGCAGTTTGGCCAACGTTTAATGGATGACACATCATCATGGGAAAGTTATTATCAAAAATTTTCGGCAACAAAGAAATGCGAATTCTTATGCTCGGCTTGGACGCTGCTGGCAAAACAAGTGAGTTACCAGGAGGGTGGGAGGAAGAGGGGAATGTCTATTGAGGCTCTAATGTGATTAGTTAAATAGCAAATTACTTTAAGTATGTTGGTCAATTTAATTCAATTAGGTTTGCTTATCTTATTTGTGAAGATAGTGATTTTTTTTTCTTTAATGGGGCTTGTTATATAAAATTATATTAAATGTATTTAATTTGAGATTTGAAAAGAGAATATACAAAATATATAATTTTAATAAAATTTAAATAAATATATGTACATGTATTATT